TTAAAAAACATGGCTTTAAAATCTAATATTAAGTTAGTATAATTACTGATTATATTATTTTAATAATTTAAAAGATCAGTTTAGTTTAGAGGTATCTGTATCGATATCGGCAATACTGGGCTTGAAAATATCGGTATCGGATCGAAAATAAAATAAGAGGTATCGCCCATCCCTAACTCTGAGTTCAAGAAATGAACTCATCTCTTGAAATGAATTGAATATAGTCAGTATACTAATGACAAAGAATCTTGATTGAAGTTTTGTTGTTCTAGTTTATGCATTAATGCATACAGTTCCTTTTTAAGATTAGAAAAAAATATGTGTGAATTGGGATCAGATTACACTCATAGTAAAATATACTGTATGAGCTGCTTAAATATAGATGCCAGACAGGTGCTAATTTCTGCAACAGCTGTTCTTTACTTGTCTCACAAATACAGATTCAGTATTCCTCAAAATCAACAAAACACACCAAACTTTGTAAAAACCTGGTAATGGTATAATTAAATACTTTGTTAAAAAGTATGAATACACTTCTGAAAGGTTCATTTGTGTTGTGCCCTCTATTGTAAAGGCGTGAATTTTAGTTTCCTTAAGCCAGGCGCATATATTGTTTCACACTTGATGTGACTAGACCATTCACTGCCATTTTGTTTCTCTGCAGGCTGCTAATTCTTAAAATTAAGGATTAGGTGAATAAAAAGGCATTTTGTAAATGAACCAACATACACTTTTCTGATACATCAGAGCAGGTTGCCAAACACGTTGTGTGTCTCATTCTTTAAGCTTCTTTTTCTAGATAAATCTTTGAGGTGTTTGCAGTGAACTGGTGATTTATGAATAGACAGCAAATTAGAAAAGAACAAACACAGCACTGATACAAAACTGATAAAGACATTCTTTTAACTGGAAATAATGCCACCATTATTAATATGAACTAATCATCAGTGGCAGTGCTGCCTTGTATGTTTCTTTTAATTTTCCGATCTCTGATTCACTGACAATTTCCAAATTACCTAAAAAATAAAAAAAAATCATATATTTTTAATAAACATTGTGATGTTTGTAATTCATGACTCTGGACTTCAGATATTGCTAAACATATTTTTATTTCTTTGTCCCCTAGAGATTTTGACTCCCTCTCAAAAGAAAATGTCTTTGAGAACAACCGTCTGGTGAGTATGACACAAACCGACCAAAAATAATTAGCCTAGATTAGGGAGGGTATAAGTATAATTTAAACTGTTAATATGTACCATTAGGCAGAATCATCAGTTAACTGCTGACAGTTCTTAAATTGTGCTCTGGTTTTTGAAGGAATCTTTTTCAGTACTGCTCTTGAAAGAGGAAGTGGTTGCAGCAAAACACCTATATGTTTGTGTTAGTCACATGACAAAGTAATGCTCGCTTTTTGTTAGTTAAGCTAAGTCATCATTTTAGTCTATTGTGACTTTGCATAAACAGCAATGTAAATGTGTACACTGACTAAAGTTTGATTATATAAAAAAAAATTCCAGGTTTTTGTGCAGATGTCTAGTTTTTACTGTGTACAGATAAATGTATTTTCCTTAATGTGTTTGAATGTTCATTAAAACCATTTTAAAGGGATAGTTCACCCAAAAATGAAAATTCTGTCATTAATTAGTCACTCTCATGTCGTTTCAAACCCGTAAGTCCTTCGTTCATATTCGGAACACAATTTAAGATATTTTTGATGGTATCGGAGAGCTGTCTGACCCTCCATAGACAGCAATACAACTGAAATGTTCTCAAGTTCAGAAACGTAGCAAGGAGATCTGTAAAATAATCCATGTGACATCAGGGGTTCAACTGTAATTTTACGAAGCTACGAGAATACTTTTTGTGCACAAAAGAAAAAAAAAACGACTTTATTCAACCATTCGTCTCCTCCGTGTCACCCTGGTGCCATTTTGGAGAATATCCGCTGGACATAAACAACGTATGCTGTTCTGTGTCAGCTGCGTCACATGGATACGCTGTTTTCGTTTAGATCAAATCACAACAACGTAGGAAACAGATCCGGCGTGACGCTGCTGACACAGAACAGCATGCGTTGTTTACGTCCAGCGGATACTCTCCAAAATGGCGCTACAGGGTGACGCGGAGGAGATGAATTGTTGAATAAAGTCGTTATTTTTTTTCTGTTTTGCACACAAAAAGTATTCTCGTAGCTTTGTAAAATTACGGTTGAACCCCTGATGTCACATGGATTATTTTAC